TTTTGTGCTTCGCACACGGGAGTCAAAAAAAAAAAAATTTGCTGAAGTTATTTTCCCCCTATACGATTATATTGTTGTTAAGTAGCTTCAGTGTTAATCAAATTGCAATGCATCATGGGTAGTTGCAATGGATTCTGGTTACAATTCTATGTTCCCATTACAGTATTGTGCACCAATGCATTATAAGGTCTGTCATTAGTAAACGCAGTGAATAAAGATTTTCCCTCAACAAGTTATTTTTTCAATTATGAATTTCACTAATTCTAACTCTAGTCGAGAAATGGTCTATAGCGATGCATTATGGTTAAAAGATAGGAATAGGTGATTTTACGTTCAACTGCGAGGTCTCATGAGTTGCATGAAAAACGTGAGCTGAAATTCTGCCGCAAAATCAAACGATTTGTTTGAACGTGAATTTCGTAGCCCACATCGAAAGTCTGATCTTTGACATCGGAATATTGCCCCGTCGAAATTGTCTATCATCAAATGTGTACAGCATATCGTTTAGCATGGAAATGCCCCCCAAATACTTCCGAATACCCTTACTTAATCGAAATTGACCATCATCAAATGTGTACAGCACATTATTAAGCATGGAAATATCTCCCAAAATACTTTCGTGTTTGTTGAATCCCACGCGACGTTTGATGCCACTACGACGCTATGACCTTTGTTTGTCCTGTTTTTACGTTCGATTTCATGCATAACGCGGAATCTCACAGAGAACGGGAAATGGTATACTGTGGTCGACCACAAGGCATTGATGGAGACATACCACATTTTAAATGTCAATTGTAATAATACTTATTTATATATTCACCATCAAGTCATGTGATAGGTCATGTGACTACCATAAACATATTTGTTTACTCGTAGCAAATGTCACAAAAAGAACATCGATGTCTAACTGAATTCCTGAGCGTTGATCTAGAATAGTACATTCACATTTTGTAGTCATGTTTTTGAAAAAGCAGCTAATAATATTGTATTTGATTAACACAGACAACAGATGCGAAGATAATAAAAAAATTCCTTGCAAAATACTGCAATATGACAAAGACGACATATATATATCAAATTGTGGGGTCTTTATAGTTGAAAACACAAAATCAAGGTCAACGAAGAATAGGTTTTATTATCCCGTGAAAAAAAAAAAACCAATGACCTGTAAAAAAACGTCTGCCAGGGATGGGGACACCCCTTGTCATAAAACGCTTTACAATCGGTATGCCTGTGGCTATAAGCGAATGCTCACGGAAGAAAACTAGCTCCATCAAATGACCGGCCAGTCAACAAACGTACCATCCCGCCAGTGGAACTCAAATCCTTTTTAATAATCAGCCTCCTAATCCAAAAAACTTTTCATCGACAAAAAGATTTGTGAGTCACCCCCATGACCTTTTTATCCCTTAAGTTTTTTTTCAACAATTACTTATTTTAAATTAAGTTGTGAATTTACGGTGGCTAGTCCATTATCTTCTGTATGGCCACATTGTGTGTTTTGTTGTCATAGACTAGTAAGAATGTCCACACAGCGTAATCATGTTGTTTTTTTTTGCAAGAATATTCACAAGTAATGAATTTTCAGGGTGTTAACTATTGCAGACGGGGTATGCACACGGAATGGCCGACCCGTGTTCTTGAATTCACTGCAGATTAGATTTATTGTTTTTCTAAGGTGTGGTCGAAATCTTGTCGTAATATATTCGAATATAAATGGAAGACAAGACAAGGTAGTGACACTTTGTGTTAATATATCGTACATGTACAAAATCTATTCAGGTTAGCTTTATTAGAAGCACACTTAAATTATACTTTAAATGTCTTTAACCTTTTTTTCTGCACTTTTTTTGTTATATTCTTCGAAATTGCTGGAAATAAACCCTAATTTTGGAGCCAACAGACAAAATTTGAGTCATTTTTCAGTTTTTACTCAAAAAACTTGGCTACTTTTGTCCCAATCTGCTGAAGGAACGTGCAAACTATAAACAGGACTATTTTGAGAAGTTATGTTGAAAAGAAGAAACTGGTTCGAATTTTTTTACATCTGAGCATGTTACTTCACATATGTGCAATGCATTATGGGAGAGAATTTAAAATTTGTATAAACGGAAAACTATATTACTTCACTGAAAATAGCTAAATTAAATGTCAATTTTTTTTTTTGTACAATGACTTCCTGAATCATCATTACATGTTTCACAAGGAGAATAAAACAGACATTAAGTAACACAATTTATGCAAAAACAATCTATTTGACAACAGCTACATTACAACAGGCAATATCAAATTATCAATAAAAGTTACAAATTTTTCACAAATCACTAACCATGAAAAAACAATTTCTGCACGCAATAAGCTCATTACATACAACTGCCAAACATTTTGGTTGGATAAATAAAGAGATATACTCACTCTGCACTGTCAGCACGGTACTTTGCGTATCCTGGTCAAGCTGTGGCGACCCATCCGCTGTGTTTAAAATAAAGTTCACTTTACACCAATACGTGGCTTCGTCCGAGAGATCAACGTTAGAAATCAATAACGAGGGTTGGTTTAGATGCAACGTTTCCGTGATTTTGTATTTATCTGGTTTGAACACATCTACCTGTCCATTGACGATCACCGCTATGATGTATCCTTCATCCATATTTGAGTTATCGCATTTTTCCCACTCAACGTAGGACGACTGAATCTCTGCTTCCAAAATTGGTAGGGTATATTCACAGAAGAGTTTAACTTGATCTTCACCAACCGAAGCATTTTTGTCGCCGTCCACTTTTATTTTAATTGGTATCCCCTGTGGCAGACCTGAGAAACGAGAAACAATTAATTGTAAATTTGCATAATCATCCAATCAGTGAGGACCCTGTGCTGTTCAGTTCTCCAGGACTGACCATATATGGTAATGATTCCCTTATTTGGAGATACAAGTTGAACTAACTGCACATGTGCCTTTAAAGTTGCACTGCATTTCTACATGTATTTGAGGTGCCTTAGCTGGCCTAACTGCATCAGACCACGCTAACGTCTGATAGAATAGTGTATGTATCAATACTGTGAATTCGCGAAGTTCACGCCTTCTTGCAATGAGTTTAAATGAATATTCATTTTGGTGGTCATGGTAACACCGTCAATCAAAGACGTGTTTGCATTGTTTCCACAAGATGATAAACATTGGGCAGAAATAAATTCTGCCGTGAATGGTTACTCTTTGATGGCTGTCACTATCTAACATTCCTGCAATTTGATTGGTACTGCCAAAAAATCGTTGAGGAAAGTGAAAAACTTAATCGTTCTGTCAGGCGTGTGTTGGGTTTGGAGAACCACAGATGATGCAATCACATGACCTTGTCAGGCTATCCACCAATCAGATAACAATAATTTGGTACATCTAATGTATGTATAAAAATTAATAAAATTTCACCAACATTCACCAAACTTTATTTTAATTAAAATCGGTTTTATAAGATAATTTGCATAAATTACAAATACCTGATTTTTGAAAATTTCATAACCATATGGAATCATTATTGAATAATCAGACTGTATGTTGAAGTTGTCATGGTTACGGAATATCATTTCTAGTAACAGCTTCATACCAGACCTCATACCGTCTGATAAACATGTATGGTTATAGGTTGTTTTTTACATTACAATGCCACTCAGTGTTGAAAATGAATAAATGATAACCCGCTTTCCTGTTGTGTCTAGATAAAGTAACGCACCATTATGCGAGGTCAATTTACCGACGCTTAAATTCCCTTATCAATACGAGCATGTCCGCGAGCAAAATATACTGTACTCTTTTTGGTATGCACAGTCCAACTTGTTTACTTCGAGTTGATAGCGAAACAAAAAGCCACATTTTGTTTTACTTTTTTTGAGAATATTTAGCTTGGTTAATTAAGCTAATAAAGACTAATTAATGGCAATTAATTACTAGAAACGAGAAACAGAGTCCAGGAAAGAGATTTAAGGATTAAAACACTTGATAGTATGAGGATTATGCATTTTCCAAGATGGCGGTTGTTTTAAGTAACCACGTCAAAGCCATTATACATACATCTACTGTACAAATGAACATTTTTCTGATAATTTTGCCAAAGTTTTTTTTCTCTGTCTGTCATCCTGGATGCAGTAGAAAAATACTGTTAATTAAAATTCAAGGTAATACAACCTAGACAGCTGATCACGGCAAACAATTGGGGTACATTTGACTGAAAGTTAGTCATTGTAAGGAACAACCCAAATAAAGCATATGCACCCAAACCTTAAACAGTTAAAAGCGAGGAACACAAAAACAGTTTCAGTTTATTTGTCTCCATGTACACTAGGAGGCCGAGGCACATTATCGGGGTGACTTGCTCCGACAAATGGAATGAATGAAACTAAGTTTCCTTCTCACTGCACGCAATGATGAGCTCAACATTTCTAACACAAAGAAACTCTTCTTAAAAGCTCTCTGATAAAGAATAGATCATCGGAATCTCTGTCGATTGAAAAGACTCACAATTTGTCCTTCGTCATCTCTGGGGTTAATTCAGTTGATAAAGCATTGCAATGTGAGTGTGTGCGAGTGTGTGCACATTTGCCATCCACTGATTACAAGTATTTATGCCATGGTCCCGTATGAAAACGCATGTACATGTACTTTGATTAACTTTTTCACCACCAGACATTCTCACCCAAATTTTGTTGTACTTTATATTCTTCAATATTTCAGAAATAAACCCTAATTTTCAAGCCAACAGACAAAATTTGAATGAATTTTCAATTTCAACAAATTTGGTTATTTTAGTCCCAATCTTCTTAAGAAAAATGCAGATTACATATATAAACAGGACTATTTTGTGAATTTGTAATGAAAAGAGGGAACTGGTGGTGAAAAGGACAAATCATAGTGAATGCATGAGAAGCGTTTCGTTCATGTTATGGGATCTTATGCTAATTTAAACAGAAACTAGAAACTGGTCTTTTGTCTTTTTCAACGAGCAGCAGACTTTTTCAAGTAAAAAAAAAAATTCAGACACCAACACCTGGTAAAAAAAAAAATTGTACTGTACCCTGTAGTTAGTAACTTTCTTATAGATTTCGGGCAATTGTCTAAAATAACTGCGTCACAAAAATAAAATTTTGGTGCCCTGTTACCAATCTTTTGAATAACAATCTTTTCACAACGTCTGCACATGTCAAGAGGTCGCTAACTTTTAAGTTTTCGAACAATGATTCTAGCAAGACTTTTTACAACTTAGAATTGTGTCTGCTGTTTTTAGTCTCAATCTGAGAGTAACAAAAGCAACACAAAGCATTCCCATTTCAATTGAGGTAAGTGAACAGACTCTTAGTTTTTAGTTTGTTTTTTTTTGGGGGGGGGGTATTAAAAAGTAATTGTATGTGTGGTCAAAACTTGATGTGTCTCAGTGTACTGTTAAATTTTATTTTGTTATTTTAAAATTCTCAGCGTACTATCAACGAAATCTACGATGGAATTCTTTATTTGATTTGTTTGTTCTTTTTAATCATATGAAATGTAAACATTAAAGAAAGTTAAAAAAAAAAAAAAATCCTGTTCTCGTTAGACGATCGAAAAATGTCGCGAATTAGTGTGTGGGCTAAGACGAGAATAAGAATTTTCTACTTTTTACAACGTTTGCACAGCCACACAGAAGGATTTCTCAAATATGTCGGTTACCAGCCCAAAACTTAAATGCTTGAAGTTGAAGTGCTTGGAATTCTTTATATAAAGTTATGCAGATGCCACGGTAGTTACTCAGCGGGCTTTTATTTCCCCACATGGGAGTATTTGCTCATAGTTCAAGTGCAAAGGAAAGACTAGCGCTACTTTAAATTTGGGTGTTTGGGGTATTCTTTGATCGAAATAAAATAAGTCAATTCCAAAAGAAAGCAAACAAGTAGGCTATTTAGGAATGAAAAAGCTGACAAAAGAGAATTTTTTTTCTGTCAATCAGGTCTTTATCTTTTAACGGAACCCCACAAGTAGACGACATTTACAGAAACGACTCGCACTTCCACCGACATTGTTGATGTTCATCACGTCAACGAACTACACCGAACTTTGACATAGATGAGACGACAAAGTCAGATTATGTCTGACTTATTCAAAATTATTCCCGAAATTACAGATATTTTTATAAAATTTGAAATACTTGCCCAGACAATTCTGTCGGTGACCCACGACTTGCCAATTAGTTTGTTTGTAATAATCTTTTACTACTGACCTCATATTCTGTAATAGGTTCTAAATGAGACCTATCAAAATACAAGTATGTTTGTTTACACATGTTTACTCAGTCCATAAATCAAAAATGACAATACTGTAAAACCATTTATTTTCACTGGTGTTTAATTTGACTATTTTGATGTTTTGAGCAATTTCACTTGGTTTTAAAGCGCGGTAGTCGTCGCGCAGCGCGTGTTCGAATTTCATGTGAATAAACAATGTACTTTACACACGTTGTATACGTCGCTATGAGTCCCATATCGAACAGGACGCGGTGCGACGACTGCCGCCCTTTAAGTTTATTTTCTTGGCAGGGATACAATGAGTTCTAATGATATTTACAATATCATAAGATTTAATTTAGCAAAATTATCAAAATTAAAAACCAGGGAATAATGCATTTACAGTAGTTTGTAATTTACCGTAGTCGAAAAATGTGATGAACATACACAAATTTAACAGCACGATTTCTCGCCATTCGCGCATCACCGTAAGTGCATATATCGCTTACACAAACCCATTATAGTCTGTTAACAGACTTTAAAGTATTGTAAAATGATTAATTATTCACTGGGTTTTAATTTTGCATATTTTGCTGATTGTCAAATGCACTATATTAAAACCCAGTGAATATGTAAAATTTAGCATAGAACACATTATCTAAATTATAAAACTGTGAAATTTAAAACCAATTGAATGTGCCTGAAATGATTAATCAGCGAAATTTAAACACAGTGAAAATTAGTCATTTTACAGTATATATATTCACACAGTGAGAAATAACAGTAATTTGCTTGAAGGATTTATTATGTTTATATCTAATTACGATACATGTACGATACATAAACTGATTAGACAAGTGGCACGGTATCTGAAAGTGAATTTTGAAAAACACAAACTGCATTCATTTTCACTACCTACTTTTACTTGTTACCTTTCTCTTACTTTCAGCCAAAAATGAATTTGTAATTTCATTACGGTGTAATAAAACTTTATTATTATTATTATTATTATTATAATGATAATGGTCATTACTAAAACAATGTCGTACAAGTATATGAAACGATTTTTCCCGTTCTCTGGGTCTATGGTTACACCTTGACACACTTCACTCAACTGTGCCAAATAATGTCAACAAAACAGTCATAAACCACTGAAACTGTTTGTTTGAACACAAATGAACTGGGATACAGCATTTCCTGCCTAAATTTTTATAGTTTGAGTAACTACAAGTAAACTTCCACTTATAATTTGATATGTTTGAGCAATGAAACAGCGTGGGTCAATGGCATGATTGAAAATATACATATATTTACTTTATAACCAAAAGTCCCTACACCCGAAGGAAATACTCTGGACTTTTGCTTTAATGTGGAGGTCGACGTTTGCTAAAATCTAAAACTAACTTCTAGTCAAAACATTTCCAGAATATCAAATATCCTATTTTTGTTAAAAAAAAAAAACTAGACATGTGTTAACGAACATTCTTGCTACATGCGACATTGTGAAACACAAAAAGAATTGTATTTACATGTTACACACAACTACGGCTGTGCCACCATTGAGC